AATTCACCGCTCTTGCACCCTCACACCTCAGAAACACACCTCAGGTGTCGCAATAGCTTCCGAATTCAGTCGTGTGGCTCTCGCCCCTCGGTGGCCATCTCCACCTCATCGTGTATGCATTCAAACCGACTCATCTGTACATATTCATTCCGACAATAAACTAATTACTAGTTTGCAACCGTTGCCTCGCGTAGTGTTTCGATACCTTCCCTAATCACCGCCACCTCGAATCCTAGAAGATGACCTTATAATAACCCTTGAATGACTCCTCCTGATAATTCTGCGCTAATCCATTTTATCCTTAAGACCTTTATGACCCTAGACATTGTTAAGGGTCGTTTGACTCTCAACTCCGAACGTTCTCAAGGGTTGTTTGACCCTCAAAACAATTTTCTCCAATTTCAAGCAAAAAATTTTACGATTGAAAATTTAAATCTAGTATGGATTACTCATATCCGAATCAAATAATCTCCATTCTGAAATATCATATTTAACTAATACCCCATGCACTACTAATCATCGTAAACTCATTATCCCGAGTTGCGTGGCGGTACCGGGTGTCAAGTTACCGAGACATTCGGTTTTATAAATCAGAAATCCAAGAATTTACTCAGCATGGAATTATATTTAGTTCGCGGTGACGTTTTCGAGGTGACTCACCTCCGTTTCTGGGTGAAGTTGATGCCTACACACGTTAAACTTGTGCATTTTCTTGGGTACATAGCTACGGTATTTGTCTATTTGATTGAGCAAACATTCAACTCTGGAATGAGAATTTTTCACCTCATTTTATTTGTTTGTTCTCCTCACCCGGAAACTTAATACTGTTTGAAGACATTCCGGTGAAATTTGGTCTCCATAGATTTTCTAGTTGAGGGGGACCACAAGGACTGCAGGGTTCTTATTTTAAGGTCCCAAAAATTCTGAATTCCAGAACCTAGATGTATTTACAATATTAGACAATGTGGTTTAATTCAAATACAGTTATAATTAGATTGAAGTAAAAATTTTTTTCTGCGATTTTGAGACAAATTTTCCTTGAAAATTTTACTGAAACAAATTCATTTCTTGTAAAATCCTAAAAGACTTTGTTAACGCTCTGGAATTGAGTAGTAAAATCGTATTTCATTTCCAGTGATGATACTTCTCAAATCAAGAACCGTTGGATTTTCAAATTAAGAATAAAGCTAAGAATAATTTAAATCAAGATTTTGTTAAAATAACCGAAAAATCTGTGGTAATCCAAGTACAATTCTTGAGAACGAGAAAATAAGAACTCGAACGAATGGAGAAAGTAAGGCGGTTTTCATGAGTACAATGGTCTTGCGTCGAGTTTTCATGAAGCTCGCCAAACAAACAAAAGAGAATTGAATACCATTCTATGAAACATGAATAAACGAATCATAATTGTTCAAATCATTTAGGTCAGAGGAAAATAGGACAATTCTACTTTCTTAATATTGCGTTTACTAAGGTTTCTTCGAGCAAAGTTGATTAGAATTAATAGTTAGAATTATGAGATTATCTCACGTTTTTGACGTTAAGGATAGGAGAATCTGAATGCAATATAGTGAAAAGGATGATCGATTTTTTCACTTTGAACAAATAATATTAATATCCAAATACAAAATTTCTGATATGAATAAAAAGAAGCTGTGACTCAGTATTTCAAATGAAGTTTCAATTTTTAATAATTTGGTGCTGAAAACACGAGATGACAATATTCTGAGCGCGAAATTATATTGATCAGATGAACAATAGATTAACTGAATTACTGTGTGAACTAACTAGAACTTGATAACAGCGTGGGCACGCACTTTTATGAGAGTATCAACAAACATTGAATTCCAGAAATTCACACTCTAAAGTGTGCTCTAGAAGGAATTGAATTGTAATTATAATTAAAATCTTATTCAGTGAGCATAGGAATTAGAACATGAGCAAATCATTTATTGTAATATGAAAATTCAACAGCTGATAAATCGGGACATATGATTCTCATCGGTCGTATTGCTTTTTGAAATGAGAATGATTATAAACAATTAATTGAAAAAAGGAATATCGAATCTGATAGGAAAAAGGGCATTATTGGATTATGTGTAGGAATACTCAATAAAAACACATTAGTTTTATTCTTCAAAGTAAAACTCTTTAATGATCGCACGCAGAAGGTATATCTTTCTCCAACGAAGTCTCTAGGACGACTAACTAAAAGTCATGAGAGTTTTCACTCTCTGGACCCATTTGACAAAAGGCCCTTGTTTCAATTTTCTTCAGCCTCTCCTTTGTGACTCACCATGAGGACTGTTTTTCTTCACGTCTCTATTTTCTAAGAAAAGCCATAAATGTCACCCTGAGTGTTTGGGTGGAAAAGAGAAAATGTTTAACTAAACTAAGAAATTAATTTTTGTATTCAGGCATGAATTCCAACAGGCATCAACAGAGAAATTCTCTCAAAATACCTAAAAACATTTTTCCTCTCTGCAGTATTTACAAAAACCGTTCTCATTCCAAACTTGAAAAATTTGATATTGCGATAATTACGAAGACGTGATCAACAACGTCATGAAGCCATTTTTCTCTCAATAGGACACGACAGTTTATGCTACTTGTGGTCATAACGAATGATTCAAGCCAAAATTCCCTCACTCACAGCAGACGTATCGCCCGAATAAAAGACTCGAGTTATTTCGGCTGAAGCGAGTCGATGTGACAAGCGTTTAGTTTTAGATTCAACAGTTCGAGGGAAAACTCGTCGGGTATTTTCACGAGCAGTTGAAAATAGTCCGTCAAATACTCACCACGAGATACTGAACTTTATCGGAATTTTATTCGACGATAAAATCCATCATTCTATCGCATAATCGATCTGTGCGAAAATAAAAATCTAAACTTGCATTAAAAATCACTAATAAACTCATCAAATCAACACCTCTATCTCCATTAACCCTTCAATATAAATATAAAATAATAATTTTCAATTTATAAAGAAAAAAAAACATTTTTTCTAGTGAATTTATTTAAAAAATCTGAAACAAAAGAATCTGTGCTATTATTTGGTAAAAATCTCGGAAGCCATCAAGTTTATCGAAAAAAGTGTCAAGGCCATTTTTGTAGCTTTTGAAATTCTTTACAAAAAATGTCTTGTGGCATTTTTTCCCAGACCCCTTTCCTTCGGAGATATCCACGATCGTAAGCAACAAGGAATCCACCAGACGAAAAACATCTCAATTTTCTATTTTCAATAACAAATATTTTTCAATCGCTCCCTTGACAGTGATTTGCCAAGTTAGATAATGATTACATGCCGGATGGAATATCAAACGTCAGTGGTATCAATCAAGCCGTAACAAAGTTTGCGTGCAGAGTGGGGAAAGTCTAAAAGGGGTCGTAGAATGAAGTGAAGTGCAAGTGTTGTGTGCGAGAGATAGAGAGGAAGAGGGGGAGAGAGATATGCCGTGACGTTAGGGACATTGACGATGATTGCCACTTTGCGAACGCTGCACAGTACTGAAATGGTAATAATTTCCCCCTCAGTTTGTTGCTTTCTGGCTGACCAATCCCCGGTTGAGCACGTGAAATTATATTATTTGATGATTAATTGCTCATTGGAGGCTGGAATTTAGTGTCGCGTGTTGTGGATATCCTGTGGTATTTCCAGTGTCGTTGAACCTTGCGTTAACCTCATTTATGGTGATTATGGGGGATGAACTGAATACATGTTTCAAGAATTACCAAATTTTTTCAAATATGGACCATTTTTTTTATTAAGAATGTCGAAGTTGAATAAATTTTCATTATTCGTTATTATTCATTTTTGGGTTAAGCGAGGCTCGTAAAACCGGTGTGAGCCTTAAGATAAATAAGATGATATAAGATGACATAATTCGCTCTTTTATATACACGTGATATATTTTGATATATTTGCAACTTTTTGCTAAAATGAAATGAAAGTAAATAAGATGAGATAACTTAAAATGATCGTATCTTATTCTAGATAAGATTTCGCCGTCTTATCTTATCAAACAGAAAATAATCCTTTCTCATTTGAAATAAGATGGGATTATTCTATCACATCTCATCTTATCTTTTTATCTCAGATAATATACCATCTTATCTTCAAAGATTTTTCTTATTGGTCTAAAAATGAGACAAGTTACAATATTCTTCAAGATAAGATAATTTTACCTCATCTTGATCTATCTCAGATGAGATAATCTCATCACATCTTATATCCTACCTCGTATTGGAAATGAGATAATGTCGATTATATTTCTAGAAAAGCTGAAAAATGTGAGATAAGATCCGATTATCTCATCTTGAAATATAAATCTCATGTTATCTCATAGATATTTTTTTCGAAGTCATATGACTTCGAAAAAATACCTTGGTGTTTTATATACAGGTGATACACATGCATGTGACATAATCCGCAATTTTGTTAAAATGAGACAGAAGTCAACAAGATCACATCAATTGATCTCATCGCATTCTAGATAAGATCACATCACCGTATCTGATATAAGATATTTCAATTTCATCTGAGATCAGATGAAATTATTTTTGGTATCTCATATAATCGTTTTATCTCAGATAAGATAAAATCACCTTATCTTTAAAGATATTTCATGTTAGTCTAAAAATGAGATAAATTACAATATTCTTTAAGACAAGATCTTATCTCTAACCCTATCTCTTCTTTCTCCGTCTCAGATGAGATATAATTTCACCTTATATCCTACACGTCTTGAAAATGAGATAATTTAGTTGATATTTCAAGACAAGGCAAAAAGTACGAGATGAGATGGAATCATCTCATCTTAAAATATTCATCTTATGTTATCATGAATATTTTTTGGAAGGTATACGTTCCAATTTTTTTCCCTGGACAATATTCCCCAGTAAAGTTTAACGTGGGAAAATTCATGTTTCTGGGGGGAAAGATAATTTTTTCTCATTTGGATAACAAATTTAACATTTTGGGATTTTTTTGATTACAGGCAAATGGGGACGATGACTTCGAATACGAGGAAATCGTATTGGAGCGCGGTGGTGCAGGACTTGGCTTCAGTATCGCTGGTGGAACTGATAATCCCCACATTGGCAACGATACAGCAATTTATATTACAAAACTTATACCGGGTGGTGCTGCCTCCGCGGACGGACGTTTGCGCGTCAATGACACGATACTACAGGTGAATGACGTTACGGTCGTCGACGTACCACATGCGACGGCCGTTGACGCACTCAAGAAAGCTGGGAACACAGTTAAATTGGTAAGCCATTACTTCTCGTCATCTTTTTTTAGGGGAGACCAGACAAAAATGAAGCACCTGCAAAAATTGTAATTTTGCACAATTCAAGAAAGATTTCTTTTGTTTTGAGTTGTGGGTCAAAGGACCCTTAATGACGCACAAGGGTCAAATGGTCTGTGGGTCAAACGACCCTTAAGGACGTTTGGATTTGAGGGTCAAAGTATCTTAAGGGTCACACAACCCTTGAAGACCTGTAGGGTTAAGGGTCAAGTGGCCCTTGCTGATCACCCGTTGAACCCTTAAGACCATTTGACCATTACTCCTGAAACCGTTCAAGGTTCGCTTGACCCTTAAGGCCTTTATTAAGACCATTTGCACGATTCATTAAACTTTTTTTTATTCTTAATTCAGAGTTAAATGGTCCGAAGAGCCAACAACCCTTAATGACATTCGGGGCTAAGGGTCAACTGATTGTAAGGATCAATCGACCCTTAAAAGCGTTTGCAGTTGACGGTCAAATTGTCTCAAGGGTCAAACGACCCTCAAGGGCTTTTAGAGTTGAGGGTCAAATTGTCTTGAGGGGCAAACGACCCTTGAATACCTGCAGGGTTAAGGGTCAAATAACCCTTCCTGATCACTCTGCTCTAACCCTTTTAATCATTAAGACCATTTGACAATTTTTTCAGAGATCATTGAAAAATAGATTTTTGGAAAAATATCAATTTTTTCGAATCTGTATGAAAAATTGATTTTTAATTGATGTCAATGATTCGCAGATAATTTATTTTATTTGTCATGAATCTATTAATATTCACAATCTTTCAAAATATTAATTTCATGACAAATAAATAAGACTTATATATCTGTAAACAATTTCCATTATTTGTTTCTAAGAAGGAGATGTTTGAATGAAATTGAAAATATTATTCAACTGAAAAATTGGTTTTCGAAACTGAAAAGTGTTTTTTACACTTTCGACCGTTCGTAATTCGAAACTTGCCCTGGCCCATTTTGCCCCGATACAATTTCTCTCATTTTAATACTCATTTTTTTGTTCGCGGAAGTGCGTTACTTCTTATGATTCATAGCCCATTTTCCCTTTCTCTCAATTCTCTCGCGTGAACGCGTCTGTTCGCCCTCTCTGTCTCTTTTTTTCCTCTCTTGCAACCCTCTGAGTCGAGGAAAAAAGAGGAAAGTAATATCGTGGCGTTCGTCGGTGCCTGAAAGGAACAGCTGACGTGGTTATGAATCGATTGCGTCGATTCTAGCGAATTAACCCGGGAGTTCCTTTCTCGGCTATTTTTTCGAGTGGAATCCAATTTATTTTTTATTGGAGGGTCGGGAAATCTTATCTTTTTACGTCTCTTGCAGATTTTATTTTATTTAATTTTTTTGCTTTCGAATGGAACCTTTGTAATCGCTCAAATTTACTATTTTTCGTATTAGGGTAACTTTGGTCTCAAGTCCGAGTATGCGATTTTTAGTCTTTTTTCATGTTTCGAAAGTTATCATAAGGGATCAATCGAATTTCATGAATCAAGGCTTGATAACCTATATTCACTGACACTAATTAAAATTCCATTTTTCATACAGATTCAAAAAAATTGATATTTTTCCAAAATCGATTTTTCAACGATCCTATTCTAAAAAGAACATACACTTAAAGCCGATAACTATCGATATCTCGCAAGCTTGTCACGCTTATTCCTCATTGGTTCCCGTCGTCTGAGGCGATAAATTTAATTCATGATTAATTTAATTTTGAGATTTTCAATTATGATTGTTACAATTACAGCGCGCTATAGCGCGTTCGGTCACTAAAAAATTGTCATCAAAATGGAATTAGTCATGACTTAAAGAATTGATAACAATACCCTCTTGATTCTATGAGAATATGATGGGGGTCGTAGCAATCAATTCACTCTACAAAAAAGGTTCTCATGAAAATCTCCGTTAAATTCGGACATATTTCTGGAAAACTCAACTAAAGACTAAATTGAATTAAATCGCTTGACCACTTCGCTACTGAATTTATTAACAACAATTACTACACTCATTCATAGAAAAAGCCATTGTCCACTTGTTTTTATCGGGAGTAAAGAAGCAGAATATAAACAAAGGTGTTAATTTTAACAAATTGTTAACATGTAGAATTCGGTAGCGAAGTGGTGAAACGGTTTAAGTCGATTTCGACTGTTGGCCAGTTTTCAGTGAATATCTCGGAATCTAATGAAGATAGCTAAATTTTTGTCAATACCTTTTTTATAGCACTCAATTTGCTCTAGAAAAAAGGTCATTACGAAAATTTCGTTACCTCCTTTGGATTCGGAGATATTCTTCAAAAACGCAAGTAAGAGATAAGTCGACTTAAACCGCTTTACCACTTCGCTACTGAATTATTTGTCCTCTTTACGCTCAACACCGCAACTGGAGTTTATTCATACACAAGATCTATGCGCGCGCTCTCGCACGCGCTGATCTATTCGTTTGTTGAAATTAAGAAATGGAATTCATTAAATTTCATTTTCTCATGAATATCTTATAAATATTGATAATGAATCAAAGAGAATTCGACTAATGATTGAAGTGAATAGCGAAGTAGAGTAAAAGAACCTATAAAGAATTTTTCATTTTCAATTAATTATCTTCAATTTTTTTAAATAATCGGTCCCCATAAAAGGACAGAATTTATTAATTTCACCGATAATATATATACATGTGAAAAAAAAAAAATATATATATATCGTCGCATTAAAATCAAAGGGGCGTAAGAGCCATTTCTCTAAGATTTTTTTTCTCTTAATACCAAAGGGGCGTATGTTTTTTTTTCCTTCGAAATGGAGTTTTCTCAACTTATGAAAGGTTTTTTGTGGACAAATTTCTGAAGTGGCAAATGGACGTAAGTCCGACTAGCAAGTACTGAAGGGGCGTATCTCCAGCACATACGCCTCTTTCTTTTTATACTTTTTGTTTCTTTTCTAGCTCATATTGAGAATGAATAATTCCAAAGGGGCGTAACTCAGGCACATACGTCCCTTTGTTTTTGNTTTTTACATTATGTGTTGTGCACTTCGGATGACACATTTCATGTTGAAATAAAACGAAAAGGGCGTAAGTCCCACATACGCCTCTCTCTCATTATATCTTAGGTCTACTCGCGATAATGAGTTTTATATTGTTATATCAACATAAAACGCTTTAACTATTTTCTTCTTCCTTTATGGTCTCATTTTCTTCCGAAGTGTTCAAAGCAGTCACGACTCGAAATTTCATACAGATAATTTCCTGAAATTCGCAGTCATAATTTAAAAAAATGAAATAAATTAATGAATGAAATCGAATAAATTTAGAAGAAAATTTTAGAAAATTTTAGTTTAGTTACTGATATTTCTCATGAAATTGTTTCATTCAAGCAAAAAATCAAAGGGAAATAATTTGAACATTCATGATGAGAGGGAGGGAGGGGAGGTTAATGTAGAATCAAATATTATTTATTATTAGGGCTGTAGTGCATGTGATTCCGTTTATACTTGATGAATCAATAGGAACGAACAGTAACAAATGAAGGGACATATATATTGGCGTTACGCCCCTCTGTGATTATTGCTTCAAAAACAAAGGGACGTATGTGCCTGAGTTACGCCCCTTTGGAATTATTCATTCTCAATATGAGCTAGAAAAGAAACAAAAAGTATAAAAAGAAAGAGGCGTATGTGCTGGAGATACGCCCCTTCAGTACTTGCTAGTCGGACTTACGTCCATTTGCCACTTCAGAAATTTGTCCACAAAAAACCTTTCATAAGTTGAGAAAACTCCATTTCGAAGGCAAAAAAAACATACGCCCCTTTGGTATTAAGAGAAAAAAAATCACTTACGCCCCTTTGATTTTANATATATATATATATATATATATATATATATATATATATATATATATATATGATGTGAATAAAAATTTACCACTGAAGAATTTAAAAATGCCGCGTATTTTTTTGCGAATAACTTCGTGTCACATATTGACCAATCAGAATGAAGGATTAGCGGTCAGGCAGTTTCGAGATATTTCGATATAAAACAACTTTACGTTTCTTTCATCTTTAGTAAAATAGGAAATTTATAATGAACGATTCGCTTGATATTTCCAGTACGTCCGAAGACGAAGAAATCCCGCCTCCCACCTAGTTGAGATAGAACTGATCAAGGGTAACAAGGGCCTTGGCTTCAGTATCGCCGGTGGAATTGGCAATCAGCACATACCCGGTGATAATGGGATATACGTCACGAAGATCATGGAGGGTGGAGCTGCCCAGGTTGACGGACGTCTCGTTGTTGGCGACAAATTGGTGGCCGTCAGGAACACACTGGTGAGACATATACCTATCGTATTTCATGACACCCTTATTTTTCACCCCAGATGATGGCAAGAGGTCGATCATGGCAAAATATACCGTCACACTGACAAATCGTCATCGGATTTTACTCTCTCGTCACCGAGATGATGAAATACCGAGGGAAACCTCGGCGGAAATCATCCTCACGTCCCATGACTTCATCTTTTTAACAATTATTTCAACAATTATTAACAGCGATCGGTCGACAATCATTACATTTGTAATATTTTCTTGTTTCTTGACCCTCGGACTCCTCCCGTTAAAATCCATTTGTTTTTCGCCCATCCCTTCAATATTCCTCCAGATCCACATCCGGTATCGAGCAGTAATATTATTACAATTAACACCTTTCTATTACTATGGTTATTTTTTCTGAATTGAAATTTGAAAATCATAAAACTATTCATAATTTAAATTTTCTATTAACTATCGAGTAAATAATTCTAAATTTCATAAAGGATTTTTTCAATTAGATATGTAATGGTCAATCTTCTGACGCGATTACTGATTGATAGATTATTTCGGAATGTGAATATTCAATTGATGATTAATTTGATAATTGAAAATTGTTGGGTAATATTATCCGTTAACATGAGTTAAATTTAACTCATTTTAAGATTGATGATTGTTCCGATCCCTGATTATTAATAATTATTTTGGAATCTCCGAGTCCATTTGAAGACGAACCATCAGACAAATAGAGAGAGAAAAAAATTATAGTTTCAGGTGAATAATCTTGGAAATTTTTTCTCTAGTGAAATGTTTTTCTACTTTCGTACTCGAACATCAAGGCTTTCATTTGAGCCCCATTTGACCCTAGGTTTCCGGATATTTTAGAATGATTTTATGATTTAAACTTTGCAGAGCTGAATTTGAATCGCAATATTGAACAGTTAGAAAACATTTTAAAAATCTGAAAAAAATTAGAAAGTTTGCTTTTGGAGAAAAATTCCAAAAATTGCAAATTAATTAAAAAATTGCAATTTTTAAAAATCACGAGCATTTTCTGTAAATAATTTATAAACAATCCATTTTCCACCATAATAATCATTTTTTCTGAATCGTAACAAATTTATCTATATTCAGAATTTTACCAGAAATCGATTTCATGGTTAAAAAAATTAGGTTTTCGAAAGTTCAAATATTTTAAATTATTCATTTGGAGAATAAATAGAAAATGCAAAATTTAGGCATTTAGAATTTTTTCCGAAAATTCCTACGGACTAAGTTTCGGGTTTGATTGTTTTGGGATATACCTTAAACATCAGAGGAAACATTCTTAATAATTGTTGACGTGGATACTTCTGTTTTCATTACGGGGGTCATTTAAGGAAAAAGTCCTTATGCAGTCTTTATGCCGTAATGCCATCTATCGGAATTCTGGAAAGTTGGAAATTTTTCGAGAAAAGTTTTTTTTTTTAATTCGAAAATATTCTCCAGCTTTTTAGAAATAAATCACAATTTTGAGGGATCCTTATCACTGGTCAGTAATATACCGGCGGTTGGTTATTATCGTACGAAGTAAATAAAATTTGTGAATCCGCCCAAAAGTTAGCAAGGGCGTTTCTATGGGACGATTTATACTGATGCTTTCTCATTGTGCCCCTTTTCCTATCAGATTCGATATTCCCGTTTTCAATTAATTGTTTGCAATCATTCTCATTGCAACAATCAATACGACCGATGAGAATCATATGCCCCAATTAATCAACTGTTAAATTTTCACATTGCAATAAATGATTTGCTCATGTTCTAATTCCTATCCTCACTGAATAAGATTTTAATCATAATTACAATTCAATTCCTTCTAGAATACACTTTAGAGTCTGAACTTATTCTGGAATTCAATGTTTGTTAATACTCTGGTAAAAATGCGTGCCCACACTCTTATCAATTTTCAGTTAGTTTACACGATAATTCAATTAATCTGTTGTTCATCTCATCAATATAATTCCGTGCTTAGAATATTGTCATCTCGTGTTTTCAACACCAAATTAAAAATTAAAAATTCATTTGGAATATTGAGTCACAGCTTCTTTTTTTCATATCCGAAATTTTGTATTTGGATATTAATATTATTTGTTCAAAGTGAAAAAATCGATCATTTTCACTATATTGCATTCAGATTCTCCTATCCTTTTGGGGACGCGAAATACCGATGGCGGCGCTGGAATCACCTCAATATGGCGGCTTAAAGGGTATAGTTGATGGCGCATATTTTCAAAACAAATGTCACGTGGTAAGGGGACAGGTCTGAGCCGGCAAGAACTAGACTGTGAAAAATGAAGACAATTTTGTTAAAAAGTATTTATCAGTTTGCTCAAGCAACATTAGATTCCCTTAATATGGTCGAAGCTCAAGCTGTTCTAAATTCAGGAAATTGATGTCATGTGGGGACTACTCGTCGTATTAATATCCTTTGTTTCCTCCATTTGTTCGATATTTAATAGCTAATATTTGATGAAATGGAATAAATATCAAAATTGGAGCAACAAAACAACAAACAGCAGTCACTTCGCACATGCATACCCACGTGACTTGAAGCCCTCTTTTCCGCCATGTTTTTTAGTTGCCGCACGCCTCACCAGGTATCGCATTCTTATCTCGCGTCCCCATTATGTCAAAAATGTGGGATAATCTCATAATTCTAGCTATCAATTCTAATCAACTTTGTTCGAAGAAAACCTTAGGAAGCGCAATATTAAGAATGTAGAATTATTCTATTTTTCTCTGACCTAAATGATTTGGACAATTATGATTTGGTTATTCATGTTTCATAGAATGGTAGTCAATTCTCTTTTGTTTGTTAGGCGGGCTTCATGAGAACTCGACGCAAGACGATTGTTCTCATGAAAACTGCCTTACTTTCTCCATTCGGTCGAGATATCCGCCATGTTCGAGTTCTCATTTTCGATTCGAGATATTAGCCCCCGCTTTGTTTTTTAGAAAGGAGAACTACAATTTTCCTGTCCATCCAATGGCATCACTCAGAACTCTCTGTCTCATAATCCCCTTGCAGATATTTTCTTGAGTTGAAGGAGAGGAGATGTAGAAACTTATGAAAGTTTACGAAACTAATTAGCAGAGGGGATTATTTGCCAAAGAATAAGAAGCCGTGGTGATAGGGGTTGAGGTTCGATATAATGGTCGTCTCGTCGTTCTTACCAACGGCCGAGGCGCGAAAAGTTTGCCCCCGAAATTCCGACCGATCATTATTGCCGGGTCGTTAGGAGCAGGAGTTTCGGATGAGATAAAAAATTATCTGGGGCTTTTGGTCGGTGCCAGCAGTGACACGTGTGATATATTAAACAGGAGAAAGGGGGAGGGACATTAGGGGAAATTTTCTGGGGAGTTGACGATAGGGATATTTCTTTATTTTTTTCTTCTTTTTTCGTTTTTCATTTGATGATTCAGGTCAAATAATGACTCATTTCTAAGTAGAGTTTTCTAAATAATTAATTTTTGTAATTTGGGGGGGGGGGCACATAGAGTCACGAAAATGTTGGTGTCCCCCGACTTTTTTCTGCTGTTTCTTCTGTTATAAGAGAAATTTCAGTTTCTCTAAAATTCGTCTAATCAAAATTTTGAGTTTTATTTTCCTCTTTTTAAATTACTCAAGGATAACTTCTTCGTCGGAGGTTTTTAATTCTCAATTTTCTAGTTTTTATTTATTTTTATTTAACCCTTTTTTAGTTTTTAAATAAGTTAGTTGAAAACTTTTCTGTCAGCGATTTTTAATTCTCAATTTTTTAGTTTTTTCAGTTTTTAAATAAGTCAATTAATATGTCAGTTATTAACTTTTTCGCCGGGGATTTTCAATTTTCCAGTTTTCATTAAAGTCATGAAATTCGATTGATCCCTTATAAAACAATTTTTTAAACAATTTTTTAAAAAATGAAGAAATAGCCCACATACATCCATTTAGTTATCGTAACACAAAAAAATATAGAACTTAAATTTGAGCGATTACAAAGCTTTCATTCGTCAGCAAAAACCGTTGGAAAATCAACTTCTCCTTTTTTGCCACAACATATTGAAACCGAGAAAAAACCGCGCTAGAGCACCAGATAACCCCGTACACTCAATAAATCATCGCCCCCGAAGAAAGATTATATTTGAAAAATGTTTCAGGGCGAAAAAAACCTGGAGAACGTGACGCACGAGGAGGCAGTGGCCACACTGAAGGCCACCCAGGACCGAGTGGTCCTTCTCGTAGCCAAACCGGAAGGGATCCTGCCACCCCCGCCCCCCGCCTCGGACCATTCGCTGTCGCCACAACCACGTAAGCATCCTCTGTCACTTCAACTCCACCCTCTCCTCCCATTGTAAATTTTTTCCCCCGTATTTTTTAAAACTGTTTTAACCCCAGTTGGTCACCATATGAGAACTTGCGACTTGGTTACCTCCGCCGGGTATCGCCGCCGTGTTATTTAGGCCCGAGCGTTGCCGAATTCACTCTATACTGCCCGGACGCGTTTAGCGAGACTTCGGCAACGTCGCACAACGGGCAATTTCATTTAACATCGGAAAAGATTGCCCGTCCGTTAGAAATAATTTTTTTTCTTCAGGAATTGTGGATATAAATAATTTTAAAAAATATTATAATTTTCAAGACACTTGAATTGACGCATTCCAATTTTTTAAGATTTTTCCGCTCAGCCAGTCAATGGTAAAAAGAAAAAATCGACCTTCTGCGGCGTTTCGCTCCTATGGTGACCAAACTAGGGTTAAACTTCGAGAAAATGTTCGGATATTTTTGAATTGATCTTGTGAATGAAAATTTGCAAGATAAAAATGTAAATCGGTCTTTGATTGAGCCTCTATTTATGTGGAGAAGGGAAATTTAAATTGGAGGATGTGGAAATGCCGCCAAAATGAGGCTGAGGAATGATAGCCAATGTTAGCTATCAATTCCAAAATTTAAGAATCACTCTATCTCAAAATGTCGAAAATGTGATCGACAACAAAGAAATCAAGAAATAAAGACAAGAAAGAAAGGGTCACTAAGGGTTGATATAAGGGGCATAAGCGTAAAAATAAAGGTCAAAATAGGAGTCACAAGGTTCAAAATAAGGGTCGTAAGGATCAAAATGAACGTCATAAGGGTAAAAATAAGGGCCTCAAGGGTAAAAATAGGAGTCATAAGGTTCAAAATAAGGGTCACAAGGATCAAAATGAGCGTCATAAAGGTAAAAATAAGGGCCATATGGTTCAAAATAGGGGGCACAAGGGACAAAATAAAGATTAAAATATGGATCACAAAGGTCAAAATAATTATCAGAATGCCAAGTGACAAAATAAGGATTGCAAGGGTCAGAATAAGGATTACAGTAAGGTTTACGAGTGTCAAAATAGGGTTGAAATAAGGGTAATAATAGCAAAAATGAGGTTCATAGGAGTTTAAAAAAATGTTAAAATAAAAGTCACAAGGGTCAAAATAAGGGTCACGAGGGCCAAAATGAGGGGTCATGTGAATAATTCCACCACTATTTTTCTTTTATATTAAAAATTTCCGCCCCCTGCTCCTTTTGCTTGCCAACCTCTACGGAATCCAACGAAAAATATGTATGACTAATGAACAATGAACCTGAAGGGAATCTGTTGAGAATAACTACCACTGATCAGTTATCCAACACACGGAGAAAAAAATTCCAGAATTTTTCAGGCGAAATTCAGGCAAAAATTACCGTGCCGTCTGGTAAAGTGGGTTCAATTGTCTAGCACCAGAAAAATTCCGGTGCTGCATAGTAAAAATTCCGGTAACGCACAATAAAAGCTTGATCCCTGACTGTTTTCTATTACATGATAAATTTCATTCAATAGTTAAAAATGAGTAAACATTGTCATTCAGCATATCATCCTATTAATTTTATTTTAACCTCTCCTCCATATCCTCTCTCCCATATTAAAAGCGGAATGCGCGGCAAACGTATGTGGAACGTTTGACAGGCCAATGTATATCTACAGCGTTATACACCTCATGAAGCGAAAATAAAGGGCACTTATTTTATTTCTTAACCGTTTTATCACAACACTAATTAATATTTCACTGAATTGATATTATGAAAAACATTAACCTGGGGTTTCAGTAAGGAGATATGTGAGAGAGGAGGCTAGAGGAGGCGACGGAATAAATCATCTGGTCACGTTGAGTCGATGTTCGTGGTTGCGGAGGGGGGACGAAGAGTACCGAAATCTTACGAATGCGCGATCGGGTCCTAGGATTCTGGTAGAGCACCGGAAAAATTTGCCAGTCAGTGTCATAATTTTTCTCGTATTTCTCGTAAAAATTCACTGTCGCTTCGATTTTACCGTGCTGCACAAGAATTTTTCCCCACATTTATCCGAAAAATGACTCGTGCAACAGTACTTTTTCCTACTCTTTGCGGTACATTTGGCCTGGAAAGACCATCTGAACCAACTTTACTGTGCGGGCACGGTAATTTTTCTCGTACATTTCTCTCCGTGCACCTGTCAAGAATATACAAGATAGAATTCCCATGTGGTATTTCGAGCCTATATATGTAGTTACTATTACTCGCCATTTATTAAACTTTTTATAACTTAAACATACCCAAGCAGCCGCACTAGCGATTGGGGGGGAGCGAGCGAAGCGAGCGGGGGAGAAGCCCTCCCGAGGATGGCGAGCGAAGCGAGCAGGAGGCGAAGCCCCCTAGTAATGATAATGGTCGCTATAACAGTATCTTTAGAACTCTTTACTATTAAAATCGAATTACCAATGCTATCACACATTAATAAATTTCCAAAAATCGGAGAAATCATGTCATTATTGCAACTCAAACTAAAAATAGAATAAATTTGTGGAATATCCTGAGTGATATTAGTTTGGCGTCTAGTCTAGTTAATACGTGATTACATTTTATTGAATAGGTAGGGGAGGGTGTGCCTGTACCGCCCACCTAAGGGGAAATGCCAGTTTTATATTTTATATTTCAACTTGAGTATAAAAAACGTATTTGTGAGACTTCTTTAACTATTGAACTCGTTATTCTCGAAGTGTAGACGCCTAATTCTCCTTAGAATCCACAGAATTGATTGAAAATGAAAGAGACAGCCTATTGAGCGGTACTACCCGCCGTCGGATAATGCCGCTCGGTACGATTCCAATGCCGCTCATAGGGTTTTGCGTGTATCGCTCGCGCCGCAACCTAACCTGTACTCGAGTGCTGTCGAGCAACTACGTGGCTGATCCTATGAGCGGTATTACCGGCTCCGCTCGGCGTCAACAAAATTGTTGATAATTATTGACATGAGTGGAGTTTTGAGTTCGAATTGGTCTCAAATTATGTGTCTCGTGTCGGAAACTGGCTGCTGTAAAAGAATTTAACCTCCTTGAGCTCTCACACTTAGTAACATGTATGCTCATGTAGATTTCAATTATGTGTTCATATCAATTCAACGTGTACTGAAGCACTTATTTTTAAAGTATCAAGCTTCACCAGCACTTAACATTACCCAGGGTTCGCGACGAAGACGTAGCTGATGTGAACCCCACAAAGGTCAAAATTTGACCCAGTCATCACCTTTTAGTTATTTACCTAATTGAGTCCAACTCAATTTTCTTGTTGATTTCAATTTTTTTTTGTAATAAATGACGAATTAATTCAGTTTCCTGGAAAAAATTGTTGGAGCAGTTATATGCTCTAATTACCCAATCATTTTTTCTACGAAAATAAATTATAATCATCGAAATAATCTATGAAGGAAAAGTCTGTGTATTTTGAATTATAATTTTGAATCAATCGAATGATGATGTCTTGATTATCATTCATTATCTGTCATCGTGGTATGTTTGATAAAGACAATAGAGGAAAAACTACTTCTATGTCAATATTCAATGACGATTAATGTTTCTGTATCGTTGAGCAAATTACACTGAACTTACAAAAATTACAGTAAGACCAGAAAATATTTGAAAGAAAGGGAGAAAGTAATAAAAGAAAATATTGAACAGAACAAAATCTTCTCTCAGCACGAACGCAGCAGACCTAAAAACACTTTTACTACCTCATCTGCCATCTCATCGGCAATCCTCCCATTCCCCCCTCGGCTACGTGACTGGGATCTGCACCACTGGGTGACAGGATTCGCACTTGTAAAGTCCATAAATTGCATCCCTCATCCCAGTGTACGATTATTCAGCTATTTTTTTTCATTTCCAACAGCACCGAAATTGCAAACTCGGCATTTAAAAAATATTAACTCGTGTGAAATCACGTCGTGCTGTTGAATCTAATTGGCATTCCATTGCTTGGAGGAGAGAGATAGGGATATTGGAATTGTTGATCAGACATTTGAAAAAAATTCATGCGAGCTGACAAATAAATATTACTTGGAATATTTCATAAAATTATTCTATTTTTAGTTTGAAGTTAAATGATGACTGATGATTTTTCTGCTTTTTGGAACTTTATTAATGTGTGAAAGCATTGGCAATGGGATTTTAGTAGTGAAGAATTCTAAAGATAGAGACTACTTCAATTTCTTTCTTGTCGATCAGATTTTTGACGTTTTGAGATAGACTGACTCTTGTATTTTGGAATTGATAGCCAACATTTGGATATGACGGAAGGTTCTATGACAAAGTAGATTAAAAATAAGATAATCAAAACCCTAAAAATGTTTTATGAGAGAAAAGAGATAAGACATTTGAATTTGAATTTCCTTTCTTAATATAGCTGAAGGTTTAATCAGAGATCGATTGAAAGAGCACTTGAGTATTTCACTGAGTAAAGAATAATATCGAGAAAATGGTCAATAACGCCGCTAGGCGCTTTGTGTTTCTCGTTTGGGGTTCAGACGAAAAGTGACTTGTTAACCCACTTGAACATGCCGAGTGCCTCCTTGAGAATGCGTCAAATACAAGGACCGCATTCTGGGGGCAGTCGAGGTATCGCTTAGAGTTATCTGGCGCTAGAAGCTCTGCGAGCTCCATTTCCCCCTCAGATCAGCCCCAGGAACCCCTCAAATGTCACAATGGTTCCCAATCTCAATTCACCCCCATAATCAATTCATAAATTCAATGTTATCCTTGAACTGATTTCAAAATTCTCCATCGAACTACCTCTGAATATCAAACGCTACAAAAACCTCTCAAATCATCATCACCACCAAAAAAAAGGAACTAACTCTTCATTTTCCTCACCAACCAGGCAAACAAAACGGTTCAGTGTCAGCCCTGGAGAACAACTCTCTCGCCTACTCTCAGGAGTCTCGTCACGCCTCATCCCTAGCTCTTCACGGTAACCAAACACCCCGGGCTGTATCGCAAGAGGACATCTCACGGTGAGTCATATTTACCCACTCAATCATACGTTAAATACATGAAGAACGAATTCAACCAGGAAATGCTTCACTCCGGAGTATTGGAAAACCGGTTAATTATGCAGTCAGTGTAGCCAGTGTATTGTCGTGGAAGGGGGAGGGGCGGGAGGCGAAGGGAGGAGGTTTGGGGGTGGGAATTGTGGTGGGCGCCACTGCTTGAGCTAATTGCCGATGGATTAAGGGCTTATCGAGGCTGTGGGGATTGTTCTGAACACGATATCTCGTCTGCATTCACTATTGACCTGTCGCTCTCAGCTGACCTCATCCATAAATCAGGAGGAAGAAAATCAAAGTGGGGGTTTTGCAATTGCAAATGATAATTGATGTTTTTTTAATGAGTTTCTTTAACACCCGGTTCTAAGGAAGATCTCGGTTAGAGGTGGATTTTAGAAAAGTTGGAACACCGGTGAAAATATCTGTTTAGTGGAATTCAGGAAACTTTTTTCGTAGTTTTTAGGTGAGGGTCACAGTGTCTTGAGGGTCAAATGGATTCGGGCAGATCAGAAACGATTATTTTATACCCTAAGGGTCTCCAAGGGTTGTTTGACCCTTAGGATAATTTGGCTCTCGACTCCGAACGCCCTTAAAGGGCTTTCGATCTTTACGACCATTTGATCCTTGACCCGGTACGTCTTCAAGGGTCGTTTGCCCCTTGAGACATTTTGAGCTTTGAATCCAAACGTGAGAGGTTTTTTGACCCTTACGACCCGGAACATCAATAAGGGTCGTTTGACCCTCAACTCCGAACGCCATTAACGGGCCTTTCACCATTGGCCCTGCAGGACTTCGAGGGTTATTTGCCCCTTGCGACATTTTGAGCTCTAAATCCAAATGTCTTTAGGGTTGTTTGACCCTTACAACTATTTGACTCTTCCCCCTGAACAGCATTAAGGGTTGTTTGACCCTCAAGACTATTTGACCCACAACTAAAAATAAAAAATACTTTCCTCAATTGTGCTGACAAAAACCCAAGGAATAATTACTATTTAGTTTGATTCAGGAAACTTTTTTGTTCGCTTTCAGTTGAGGGTCAAATCGTTTTAAGGGTCAAATTATTCTCAAGGACGTTTGTAATTGAGGTTGAAATAGTCTTGAGAGCCAAAAACCTTTTAAAAACGTTTAGGATTGTGGGTCAAATGGTTGTAAGTGTCAAACGCGCTAGGGCGAAGTGATCAGCTTTGACTCTTTAACCCTACATGTCTTCAAGGATTGTTTGCCCCTTGAGACCATTTCTGATTCTCAATTCCAAACGTTCCTTGAATATAACTCTTGATCCTGAGCATCATTACCATTTCGCCCTCAAATAAAAACAAAGAAAAGGTTTCTTGAATTGTTCAAAATAAAACACTAGGCACTAAATATCTAGTTCAATTCACGAAACTTTTTCCGCTTTTAGTTAAGGGTCAAATCATTGTGAGGATCAAACAACCCTTAAGAACGTACAAGGTTAAGGGTCAAATGGGCTTAAGAAAATTAAGAGTAGAGGGTCAAATGATTTTGAAGGTCAAATGACCCTTGAGAACCTTTCAACTTGAAGGCGAAATGAGCTCAGGGTTCAAAAGCCGTTCGAGCAAAGTGAATAGAAAGGATCACATTTAACCCTACACATCTTCAATGGTCGGTTACCCCTTGAGACGATTTAACCTTCAACTCCAAACCTCATTAAGGGTTGTTTGACCCTCAAGATCATTTCCCTTTCAACTGAAAAGAAATTAAAGGTCTCCTGAATTGCGCTTCAAGTAGCCCTTTTCCCAATATTTTTGGATTTATTTTGAAAATTAATGGGTTTGAGAGGGGGGAGGGAATTTCTTCGAACCTTTCTCATAGTTTATAAAGTTTTCTATAAAATGGGCGGAAGACATGTTCTATAAACATGAATTATGCACATAATCAAGGTTTTAATGAAACGTGAAAACTTGAATTACAGAATTTCCCAAAATTTTGCCTCAATTTTCATTTTGTTTTGAAATTTTAAAGTCCAGAAGGTTTTTCATATAAAAATATTAATAATCTTGAAAGAATGTGATGATTTTTTCTGTCCGTCATAAAAACCACACGCAGTCATTACCTTAATTCCATCCCATTTGGCCATGCTCTGGGATGATATACGAATCTGCTTTTCACCCATTTACGTGGATGAAATATGTCGGGGGGATTTATGATTGTCGTAATGGCAGGCACGGGTTGCCCCCGGCCCATAGTCATTCGTTACTCCACGACAGGAATTAGAAAACCATAATTCGATGGATCGATATAGAGTCAGTAAGGCTGATTTGATGAGAAGAGATTTTAATTTAAATATTTCATGGTAAAGAATGTGAATAAATTGGGGATCATTTTCACTCATGTTAAGAAAATTTGCCGTACAATCGGAGAAAGAAGTTCTAATTCTCAGTCATTTTCACTTAAAATTAGTTAGAATTGTACTTAAACGGTAGCACATCATCTCTTTTTTCAAAGAAATCTTGGTTCCGGAATTGAAAAGTATATCATCTGACCCTTTGACTCAATTAATGTTTAATTAATGTCCAATTATTCAAGAATATTATCCCCTTCGAATGTTATGAGTTCAACAACACAAACATTGAGGGAAAAAATTAGCTCTGCCGAAAAACTATATGTTCCACGTGAGAATATTTGATGAAGTGGAGCAGATTTACTTGAGGGAAATTAACCAACTTGATAGAAGGAAATTTAATGTTTCACAAAAATTAAATTTTTGTCGAGATCATCAGAAAGATCCCCAGAAAAATTCGAACTGTTGGCAGGAAAAAATATAATCTATTGTACGACAATCATTTGATCTGAGAGAACTCCATTGGTTTATACCATAGAAAGAATGCAGTGACGAGGAAAGAATATTTTTTTCCCAAAAAAAATTGTCCCCTCGAAATTATCATTTGTTCCATGGAAATTATGAGTGTTTATTGGACAAAGATATACGCTACTTAATCACATTCACTTGATAAAACCGGAGCCTCCTATGATTCTCCGCAGATCGAATGTATTCACCTGAAAGACATATAAATGTCTCACGAGACCAATTACTACTACGAAAATTATCATGTCTTGGTGGAAACTTTCTTTTTCGTAAACAAGTAAATTGATTCAACACGACAAAAGCTCTCTTCATGGGAATATATAATTTTTCGGCTGAACTAATTTTTCCTCTCAGTGAAGGTTCTTCATTTAAGAACCCAATGATTTTGGTGTTGTATTTGAGAGATTTTTCTTCTGAAATTGAGTAACCAGTTTATTGTTCTCAGTGCTACGACGCCTCTTAGACCCATAAGTTTTAAAAATCCGTAACTTGGTTTTGGAAATTCGAAATTCCTCTTCTCTGTAATTAAATCCATGGCAAAATCGTGGAGATCTGTCACAGACATTTCTCAGTGACGAAAAATCTCAGAAATTCTCCCTAATTCTCGAGAAATGACTCCACTTCCCTCAGTCCATATCCCGTCCTCTTGCGTACAAGGCTCCAGTGAAATATAGTAAAAGTAGCGGTGGAAAGCGCGAGTTCAAATAACGCTTAAAGAGAAACTTTTGTGTTGGCCCGTGTGCTGCCTGAAATATTTCCATCCCGGGGTGATATTTAAACGTGGATTTTCCACCAGTCTGGAGTTTCAACTGTACTTAAAAGTATAATTAGTCCGTTTAGCGCACGATACCCTTTTTCCACTATTTTTCCCCTCTTATATCGCCTTATTTTAGGTCTTGAAGGTTTTATTATTCAAAAGATGAGATGGGAAGTTATTAATATGGGAGGAATCTTCCTTGGAACGAAGATATAGGGAAGAGTGGGGAAAAATGAATTACCAAGGAAAACGAAATTTAACACAATTCAAGAAGTTTTTTTTGTTGAATTTTCTGTAAAACCAAAGGATTTTGTCGAACTTCCTATAAAATTAAAAAATATCTCTAAACTTTATAGAACTCTCAAAACTATTCCCGAAAAGTCGAGAATATTTTAGAATTTTGCAGAATGCTTTAGAATTTTTGAGGAGGTTCTACGATGCATGCTAAACTATACACCGTAGCGCAATAAGTTATAACCCAACGCCACAGTCAACGTAAAAATACCATTGAAATCCATTCAGTCATTTTTGCGTGAAACGCGGCCAAAGAATGGGCAACACATTTATTATATTTAAGACTAGGAAGGACCCCCATGATCCTTATCCTGACCCTTGTGACCCTTAATCTGACCCTCGTGACTCTCATTATACCCCTCGTGAGCCTTATTTTGTCCCTTCATTTCTGCCCCTTAATTTTGGAGTCTTAATTTCGAGTACCAAATTTCCATCACCAAAACTCGATTTTATTTGGATTTTTATAATATATAGAGATATTGGCCCTTGTGATCCTTCGTTTCTGATCCTTATGACGCTTATTTAGACCCTTAATCTGACCTTTGTGACCCTTAATTTGACCCTTATTATACACCTCGTGAGCCTTATTTTGTCCCTTCATTTCTGACCCTTAATTTTGGAGTCTTCATTTCGAGCACCAAATTTCCATCACCAAAAGTCTATTTGAATTTTTACAATATAGAGAGATGTCGGCCCTTGTGATCCTTAGTTTCTGATCCTCATGACGCTTATTTGGACCCTTAATCTGACCCTTGTGACCCTCATAATCTTCGTGAACCTTATTTAGACCCTGGTGACCCTTAGTTTCTGACGCTTGATTTTTGACCCCCATGTCCCTCATTTGGACCCTTACTCTGACCCTTGTTACTTTCATTTGGGCCCTTAATCTGGCCTACATAACCCTTAATCTGATCCTTGTGGCCCTCGTGACCCTCCTGACTCTTATTGTAACCCTTATAACGCTTATTCTGACCTTCATGACCCTTGTGATCCTTAATTTTGGAGTCTTAATTTCGAGTACCAAATTTTTATCACCAAAGGCGATTTGGATTTTTATAATATAGAGAGACAACAGCAAAATTGCCTGTA